AAGATGCACCAGAAGGTAGACTCTTGTGCTGGCAGAATGCCTGGAACTTTTGAGGGATATTGAGGAATAGCCTAAGGCCCCAAACCTTGTGGCTTTCAAGGTTTACTTCTTCCTGTCTTACACTGCTTGTTTGTCTTTATTTTCTTTTTTAGAAAGTCTTTCAAGTAAAGTTCTGACTTGAGACCAGTACTTCTGGAAAGGGCAACTCAGCCATGAGGTTTGTTTGTTCATTTTGGGGTGGCTTGCTAGCATGTTTTTTTGTGTGTTTTTCCCTTTTGGCGAAGTGATGTTGTATCTTTGTCTAGTCATCCTTGTAATTTGTATGAACTCATATTCCCTTTCTTCTGTGCTGTCCAGCCCAAAGCACCCTTCTAGGTGTGTGTGCTTGCAGAAGACTGGAGTGATGCTGAAGACAGAGGAGGTCAGGTGTGAAATTTGGCAAACCTTGAGCACAGAACTTAAATCTTTGGATCCTCCAAATGTGCAGCAGCACTGGTGCTTTTTGGTTTTGTCCAGACATGGGGGTGAGGTGAGAACAGAGGCAGCTGACCTGGCTGCTAGGCTGTAAAGGGGCTTCACTGCAGTGTTCCCTATTGTTAGTGATACTGATGGAGAGGTTGCAGCCTGCTTGCCACCTCTGCCTTTGCTGCCAGCACCCTTGGCCTGGTGCTTGTGGTTTGTGGAGGCTCAAAAGGAATTTGAAGAGCTTGGGTAGCCTTTGTGTAGGGCAGAATATGCTGGAATGGGGTTTTCAACAATTTAAGACTTTTTTGTAATTGGGATCTCAAAGGCAAGTAACGCTCAGGTTTGGGGAAGCTATGAGGCTATGCCAAGCAGCGCAGTATGCATTAGCATGCCTTATCTGCATGCGTGAAAATGCCCCTTTGAACACAGGTTGCTCCTTGTTTCCCATATTTGTGGGGAAAAAAGGGTGTGAAATCTGAAGCATGTTCCAGGAAAAACAGTTGGCTCCTTTTACCTCAAGGCAATGCAAGGCTGGCCCCTTGCCACGCTTTGGACACTTTGTTCCCGTTTTCTCAGCTAGTCCATGCTTCCAAAGGTGGAGGGTGAGAAGGGGCTGGAGGAAGAAGCAGGGCAGGCAGCTGCACAGCAAGAAGGCCACTAAACTGGGCACAGGAGGGGCAATGTCACCAGCAATGACCTGGTTGGGCTGCATGCTGAAGGGCTCCACAAAGACCTAGAGAGCAGCCTGGAGTGCTCCTGGAAGCTTCTCCCCTGCCTTGCTGGGTGTAAAGGCACTTTGAGAGGCAGGTTTGGGCGTGCAGGGAAGCCTCTTCCACCTTTTATGATCGGTGCAGCTTGCAAGTAGAAGCTGTCATTTTTTCCCAGGGCGTGTAGAACCAGTTTCACTGGTCCAGCGTGCTGCGGAGCCAACAAGGTCTATCATGAAAGGGGCCGTGATGTATCTGCTGTTGGTGCTCTTGATTTGTGGGAAGGGTGTGGATGTGGAAGCTCAGAGGCTGTATGTACTGTCTTGGCCACCTGCAGAAACATCTATTTTTCTCAGAGACGTTGCCATACGGTCTTGCAGGGTTATTGGCCACTCACTAAGCACCATTTTGACTGGTGGTTAAGGAGCTGTTAGCCAAGCATGGCTTCCTAAGACTTCTAAGTTTACTACTATTGTTTTTCACCATTTACATTGTCATATTTAGGACTTCTAATGCCTCTGCTTCTCCAACAAATTACTTGGGGTGGTATTGCCAACTTTCCTGGGGTTTTTATAGAGATATATATATATATATTTTATCCTATGGCAATTTATATATATATATATTTTTTTTTTCCCCTGAAAGTGCAGGGTCTTAGGACATTCTAACTGGGGATCTTGGACTGCACAAAATATGGTTCCAGTTTTGGTGACTAAGAAAAGCTTTAATTTACTGATCAAAAATAAATTTATAAATAAGAGACGTTTCAGTTTCCATTCTAGTTTTCCTTAAATGCTTTCCTTGAACGAGTGACTTGTAATTATTTTAAATAATTAGCATTGGAAGTGCTGCAGTAGCCACTGCAAGCAATGCTTTTAAAATGGTTAGATCAGAAACTAGTCAAGATGGGTAATCCCCTCCTCACCGTGATGCTATGTGGGCAATGATGACTGCTTCTCTGGGCTCTGTTTCTGCAGATGTTTCCTTTGTGACAGTTCTGTGCATGGCAGTGCACAAAGGAAACCCACACAAATTTTTGCAGGATTCTGTCCTGCAAATTAATCTTCTATGCAAAGTCACCCTTGGAACTGAGCACTGAACTACTTAGGGCCTTGATCTCGTCAAGCCTTTGCTTGCAAATGGTTTTTACTTAGCTAATCTTTCTCAAGAAATCATTTTGAAAGCTCAGGACTTCAGTGCAGTCAAATAAAGCTGGTCTAGATCACAGGTTTGGTTTAGTAAGATTGCTGGCCATACAACTTATGGGAAACAGTTTCTTCACTATGCTGCTATCCACATCCTCTTTCCATTCCCTTCTGGTATCACTAACATGCTGGGTTTGCCAAGAGGAATTACTGGATATAGGCGCAACCCCGAAACTGAAGGGGGTGGCAGGAACCACCTTTGATTCAGAAGCAGAGTGTTGTGTTCAGTCAACAGCATTTGTCCTGTTAAATAAAAAAAAAAACAAAACACCCAAAACCAACCTGTCTTCCCTGCCTCCCCCCCAAAAAAACCAAAACCCAAAACACAAAAACAAACCCCAAAAAAACCCACAACAAAACACACAGGATTTTTGGAATAATTACAAAAATATGAAAACTTTAAAGTTTAGTGTGTGGATTTTCTTCCTTTTTTAAGAAAGGAAATGTAGGTGTGTTTTGACCTGCTGGAAGCAGTCCAGCTTGAGGACAAAACCTGGGATGGCTGTGTTCGCTTAAATTCACTCTCTTTTGGCTGGAAATTTTGAGCATGTCAGAAGGTTTAATTCCAAAATTCTTGTGAAAAAGAATGAATCTGTGTTTAAAAGAGAGCCGTGTATTTCCCAGCCCTGCAGAAAAAAAAAGCTGTTTCATTGGCATTTGCTAAAAAAAATATAAAAATATAAAAAAAAAAAAAAATGACTGACAACAGGGTTCTATGAATGTTTATGTACGTGTGAAAAGCGTGGAGTACCCTGCTCCTGCTCATACAGTTACACAAATGCATGTCTGCGTGTTTACATGCTTTATCACAGAACTAAGTAGTTAATAGTTCATACATAATCTGTATATAATACTGGAAAGTACTTTAGGAACAGCTTGAGAGGCATTTGTGAATTTATTCCCTTTTGCCTCCTCCATTCTCATCAGATGTATTTCTACCAGTCAATTGGACTTTGCATGGTAAGAATGGCATAGAGTAAAATCAATGGAAGATCCAAGCTTTTTTTGCCATGCAACCACTGCACTGTAAATCTGTCGGTGTCCTTGCTAAAACGATGAGACAACTCTTGCCCTGTACTGATGGGTGTTTTAAACTATCAGGATGCATGAAATATGTATTTTCTTTTTTTAATCACAATTAATTTTCTCCAGATAAGTACATTTCACAACAGCAGTCTGCCCCCAGAGCCTCCGCTGGGGTGTGCTCCTGGTTTTAGCCACAAGTGCATGCATAGGCTGCAGCACAGGATAATGTTGTTGTATGAGCACCGTGTTTGATAATACCTCAGAATTCGCACTGCAGTAAGCCTAGCTGTATGTTTTAGATCACAAATGTTTCTTGTTTGAGAGGCATTTTCCCATTTCTCTGGGGTGGTGTAGGTCTGTTGGCCTGCATAGGAGATAATGCCAGCACCGCTGATGTGTAGCATCTCACTGTTGAATGCCTCTGCTGTTCCATCCCTACTTGGTGGCTCATGTGCTGTTGCCTGTGCCCCTGCTGCAGTTGCTTCAACAGCATGATTCTGCTGGGATCAATATCCTGGCATCACAGGCAAACTTCCCTGTTGTGGCTGAGGGACCTGCATTAGCAGTAGCAAAAGCCACTTCTACCTCCTGCTCTCACTAACAGGGTTTGAACTCTGGCATAAACAGGGCCTTAAACATGGTGAAAACCCCATATTACCAGCTAGCCCCTTTGCTTGGTGTGGGGCTCCTGGAGAGCAGGAGCAGTGTCCCTAGGCTGAGGGCTGTGCCAGCCTCAGGGCTCCCACTGCTGGGATGTCTAAGATGCTAGCATGCCCCTGGGTGAACAGGAATGCAGAAGCCACATGGTTGATCTTCCTTCCCCCTAAGCCTGCATAACAAGATTGAAAAAGCATTTTAAAAAACTTGTTTTCTGTTCAAGAATTGGAGGCAGCTTACAGAAACTTGCCATTCAGTCTTAAATCTGTGCAAACCTGAAGAAATATTAGCCAGTTAAGTGTTTTAAAGCACATAAATATTTAATTGCTCCTCTAAGGATAGGCTGGTAGGGGAAGATGGAAAAAGTTTACCATATTCTTATTATTTTTGCCTGTAGGCAAAAGTCCAGCAAATCTTTCATGAGAGAGATAATTATGTGAGGATGGGACGGAGATGTGTTGTAGCACACATGAATGCTGACCTGGCTGCTCCCAGCAGCCGGTGGGGCTGCTGTGATGTTCAGAATTACATTTCCTTCCGGGAGGCTGGAGGAAGGGCTGAGAGATTGGGGTGGAGGCAGGAGGGGCTTCTTCAATTACAAACCCTCAATTTTCACATTGTTGAGCACTGAAGGAAATAGCTGATGCCAGTAAGAGATCAGAGACCAGTCTGGAGTCTCTGAGCATCTTCTCTCCCTCTCCATGCCAGAGCTTGCTGTTGCAAAACTCCTGATGGGAGGTGATGATATAATTTGCAGTCAGATAAGAATGTGCATATTTATGCAGGCTGTGGGAGGTGGGAGAAAGAGCCCTTGTGCGGGAAATGTAAGGTTATTTAAGAAACACAGTTTTTTGTCACTTTAATTGGACTTTTCATTGCAGATTTATTTTTAGCATTCACCAAGGGATTCCATGTGAATGAAGATTTTTCTTGATTTCTTGGGAGGGCAGGATGGTAGGAGAGCAGAGGAGAGTGAGGCTTTGGCAACATTTGCAGTACCTTGGTGATCTAAGCTAAAAGAAAGGGAATATAGCCTGACTCTATGAAGATGGGTAAGCGGGAAAAGGGGATGTGCAGAAAAGAAGTCATAAAAACCAAGAGGATGCAAAAAAATCTTTGCCTTGTCTTTAAATGTAGTGTTATGTTTTGGGGTTTGGTTTTTTTTTAGGTGTTTATTGTGTCTAAGTAGTAGACATGCCTGCCTGTGACTACAGAAACACACTTTGGATTACTTAAATTACAACAAAGGGGTCTGTTTTTATATGTAAAATTTGTGCCTGTATTTTTTGTGTGTGTGTGCGTGAGCCTTTTATTTCATTTAAAAGGAAGCCCTGTGAGGACTAGAAAAAGAGGAGGATACTCTCTCTTTATGAATACTAATAAGGAAATCAAGGGGGACAATGGCACTTCAAGTTTCATCTTTCTATTTCCTAGAGGCGCAAACTCTGCAAGTTGTCACCTTGGTGTATTCAGTGCCTCTTGAAGCACTAGACTCCTCTAGAGAGAATGTCAGCCCCAGCCCTGGGCAGTTTTGACAAACAGAGTATATATTGATACATGATAAAGTATGCTAGAAATCACCCCAGCGCTAAAGGCTACTATAGTTTTAATATCATCATTTGAATTAACAAGCATTCTGTGGAGAAATAATGAGCTTTCATTATTCAGAACATCATCCTTACCCCGGGAACTCAGAAACCATTAGCTCTTGAGAACTTAATGAAAAGATGATAAAGAATGTTTTAGATAAAAGTTTGAACGGGTGCACTTGGTAACTAAGGTAAAATATTAATGTTTCTCCCAGTGATGAATTGCTGTTGCTAAACTCGTGCTTGCTGAGGAGACAGAGGGGTGTGTAGGTGTTCCCATGGGCAGTGGCTGGGATGGAGAGCTGCTGCCCACATCCTTTGGAGAAAAAGGCAGGAGAAGGGGAAAAGCTGGGTATTTGTATCTCCCCATCTTCCCCTGCAGGTATTTTCCCAACATGGGACTGAAGCTAAAATCCTAATGCTGTTTCCTTTTTGGGATCCCCCTTTCTTATTCATTTATTTATTTTTATATATATATATTTTAATGATAGCCAATGCAATATAGCCATGAGAGAGTGGAAAGGGGTAGAATGAGCAAAAAGAACCACAGCAAAAAGTCCCTTCTTGAAGCTGCTGACCTGAGGCTTGATTTGGGCAGGTCTGAGGCGCTCAGGCCAAGCATGATTGCCATTTTGTGAAATTCCATATGGGTGGCTTGCTACATGTCTGCAATAAAAATCCCTGTTACAATAAACGAAGAAAGAAATATATAAAAGTTTAAATTTTATTGGGTGTAAAGCTCTTAAAGGACTGCTGTTCACAAAGAGTATAAAGATTGCTGACTCTCAGTGTATGTACCCCTACCGAAACGTGTTAGTCCTGCTGTTTTCTTTCTTTAACTGTAGCAATTTGCTTTCTTGCTGTTCTATAATCCTTGCACTTTACCAGCACCAAGGGCCTACAGCCTGCTTCCACCTGTGGGTGGCTGGGAGAGGTTGTCTATCCTTCTGATGCAGGTGGAGAGGTGGTATGGGGACCCCCAAGGCTCCGATTGCCATGGAAGGGTTTGTTCTCGCTAACGAATGTGAATGGGGGGAAGAGAAGGAAAACAAATGGGAATAAAATATCACATAAACTGTCTTAAGTCACAGTGTTTGCTGCTAACAGCTGCATTTAGGTAAATGCTGTTACCTCGAGAGGTGTTATCTTCTGGGGATCCTTATCATAATTTTGTTTTAAATCTGAACAGCTGTTGTTTAACTACCACAGACCACAATTTATCTACAGCTTGAGGCCATAAAGGTACCTTTATTACACTCTCTTTCCTTTTTTTTCCTTCCATTTGATTTAATTTCAGTGTGTCTGACACCAAAATGCTATATACAATTTGCATATTACAATATGCACACTGCAAATTCCATACACTGCTAAATGGGAAAATCGGAGCAGAATGGTAAATGGAGAAAGCTTGCAATGACAAATAAAAGAGGAAGATGAGCTCCCATGTTTCATTTACATGTAAAATATTCTGACAATAGCTGTTTCCCCAAGAACAAAGAGCTGGTTTTTCTAGGGTGACTGGTTTATGATGGCTGCAAGAAAAAAAAAAAAAGATTATTTTTGGCACTGGAACAGAAGCGTGCTTATCTGAATTGAGCCCTGGGGCTTGCCATATAATTGGAATAAAACTTAAGTCTTACTTAAGAAACTAACAAATATGGAAGCATGAACCATATCCAGAAGGAGCAGCCATGGTGTACTAGGATTGAAAATCACCTCTCTCCAGGCAAAGTCCTGTCTAAAAGTTGGAGTCCTGAAAAGGACTTCAGCAAAGCATAGTTTCGTATTGAGGCACCTGGTCTTTTGTAGCTGATCTCCAAAGTTTATTATGGGAAGCAGGGAGGAGAGGTGTTGCAGGTGTTGTGTGGTGAGCATGGGAAATGGTGGCTATTATAGGGGATCCTTCTAACCCTTACGTATCTAGGCCCAATGACTCAGATGGTGTCTTCCAACCCTAGGTTACTGCTTCCAGCCCTGAAAAAGAATCTGTATATATAGATCTAAGTTTCTCACTGCCCTGCAGCAGAAGATGTGTACGACTCTTTCCTGTACATCTCATTTCCCTAAGGAAAAGGGGTCTTTGCCTCCAGAGCTGTCAGTACAGCAGCTTTCAGCAGCACAAAAATTGTGATAAGAAATATCCCCAAATGTGAATCTGGAGTAAGAATTTGAATTTGGATAGGCCGTAACACTTAACCCAAATCTCTAGAGTTTTGCTTTATGTTAGTTTTTCTTCAAAATAAATAACAGTAATAACACCTGAATTAATTATACGTGTAATAGCTTGATGACAGAAAATACACCTCTCCACCTTTACTCCCTTGTTTCCTTCACCCTATACGTGACTGTGAAAACTATATGTGTCCCTGGGAGTGGGGTGATTTTGTTGAACTGTTTTTCTAAGTGCAGACTACATTAATCTGTTGACACTTAAAAAAAAATTATACCGTAACTCAGCTTCTCATTGACCTTTCATGCTCTAACATCCATCAAGTAATATGAGACTGTTTAGTTTGTTTTTTCAAGGACAGAAAACCACCTGGTGGGGGAGAAAGTGGGCTGAAATGTATGTGACCACATAATAACTACCCCTTGATGACATTCTCAGATGCTGTTGCTGATCAAACTACGTTTGTCTCCTTGAAAATGCTTAAAATCAGCATAGGTAGAGTGGGTGGGCTTTACTGTGATCCCAGAAGTCCCAAATTTCTTTTTATTCCTGAAATCTGTTTTAGCCAATTTAATCTCTCAGTTTAAGATACCCCATATCAGAAAACTAGAAGGAACTGAGATTTCTTTTTCCTCTTCCAGGAGGGGTAGCAGAAGGAGTTAGGAAAAACACACTTTAATGTAGTGGTAGACTTGTCAGCACAAAGTACTTGCATCCTCATAGATATTATGCAGTGCTTCGTGTCTTGCAAAAGAACAGTGGAGGGATTTACTGAAGTACGTGCAGGTATGAACCAGTGGCTAATGTCTCTTGTATAATATTACTCCTGAAAGTACAACTCCACAAAGAATACTGTCTAGAATTACAGGGCAAGAGCAAGTCAACAGTTAATTGGCTGTGCTGTAATTACTTCTAGATGCATAATGTGCAATACTTATAGGACTTGTAGAAGTGGCATACGAATTTCATAGTGGTCTCCTGGTATTTTATCATGTGCGGAGGATTTTGGTAGTCTGTGTAGATCTTGGGATTAATGGCACTGTTATAATTTGTTCCTGCTCTGCTGTTTTAAAAAGTGTGTAGTTTTTTGTCTTCTCCTCCCCCCCCCCCCCCTTTTTTTTTTTTTTTAAGTGAAGTCTGTCTTTCATTGTCCCATAAGCTAGAGGAAAAAAAATATGACAGATGCTGTTCAAAGGCTTTGTCATTCTTTGTTAGCATGGAAGTCATTCCACTTGTTTTTTGTTTGCTTGGAGTGGCTTACACTTCTGGTGGCATGCGGTAACCACACATAATGTGCTATGGTACCATAGCCCAGTGTTTTGCAGACCTAACAAGAGCACAGAAACTTTGTACAGAAGAACAGATGTGGTCTCTGAATTTCTGGTACCTGATTTTCCTGACCTTTAACCTTAGGGTGCATAAGATGTATTTTACTGAGTTTATGGAATTACCATTGTGGTCATACTGGGCAAAGATCTGAAATGCTGAAGAGCTGTGTGGGTGGCAATATGGATAAGTTCTTTAGAAACAAGGCCAGGCAGCAGTAAATTCTTGACCTGGCTGTGTCACATGGTTTCAGCAGTCCCCAGAGCTGTGGCTCTTTGGATGTTATCCAAGCCTCTGAAGTCAACCATCATCTTTCCCACTGCAGCTGTGAAAAGCCTTTGCAATTTGGTGGCACAACTGGCACATTTCAGGGCTGCTGAAATCACACTTGGGGAAGTTAGGGGGGACTTCTGTGCATGTGAGGTTTGTGCATATTTGGCTCACTCATCTTGTGTGATGTGGATACAGAAGTTATTGTGAAGCTTTATTATATGGACTTTGGAGTCCCCAAAATGTCATTTGGATTTTACTTTATTAAATATGGAAATCATGTCAAAGGTAAATGTCAAGGGGCTATAAAATTACCCTTCTTATCTCCTGTACATTTATCAGTTGATAAATGGAAAGAAGCTGCTGCCAAAATAACTGTGAATGAATAATTTATAAATGACTGATGCATCGTGTATGTTGTTTCAGGCAGAAAACAGTAGGACATCAATAATCAAAAGAAGTTGGATTAATTTAGCAGTATTTTGCAGTTAATATTTTTATCTAAATGCTGCAGTCTGGGCCTTTGTCATCATGAGATCCTTTTTTTTTGTCACTAAGGACTGATCCACAGATCACTGAAATCAATAGGAATCAGCTGTTTACTTCAGCAGGCTGTGATTCAAATTTATAATATGAATATATAGCTTTTTTCCTGCTTTCACAATGTTATGGATTTGAATTTCTTTAGCACTGTGTGCAGTACATGGAATAGAATTTGGTTCAGAAGCTTCCTCCCTCTGCACATCCCTGTGAGCTGCATGTCCCAGTCAAGAAATCTGGGTAACTCAATGGAACAAGGATGAGGGAAAAGTGGCTGCCAAAAGAAATATCTACCTAGTCTTATCTTTCAGATACTTCTTGTTTCTGTTCAAACAGGGAAAACTTCTTTCTTGCAACTTTGGTTTCGATGCAAAGCTGACTTTTTCTCAGCATGTATTTTTCACATGCCTACCGCCAAATAGATAACATTTTAAATATTTTCAGCGCTGGCTGTTGTGAATAAGGTTAACTACTGAAGAGGTGAGCTAGATTCTTTCTTCCTGTTCTTTTCCATGTGATTTAAATATGGCCCATTTTGCCCATCACATGACTAGAGCTGCCAGAGATTGCCTCAAGCTAGTTTATGGCTTTAACTAAAGGTCATTTTAGGGGGGGAAAAATCCCACGGAGCAGGGGGAGGAGACAAATGCATTTAAAAAAAAATACATTTAAAAGTAGCTATTAAGCATTCGTTCTGAAGAATACAAATGAAAGAGAGAAGCTGACATTATATTGGAATGGATCAGAGGAGAGAAATAAAAGCACCACCACTAATAATAAACTCTCTTCCTTCCTCCACACAGCACAATGCCTCACAAAAGAAAGGTGTGTAAAGCAATTGCCTGGATTTCGGGCTACAGCTTTCTCTACCTGACCTAGATATCTGGCTAGCAGCTCAACACTGCAGAAAATGCCCTACTGCAAAACTCCTATCCCACTGGCTGCTAATAAGAGCAATTCTCACGTAGCACTACATCCATCCCCACAATGTAATTGGTCTGGCTCTCCCAGCTAGCCGCCACTCCTCCTGAAGGCCCACACTGTGAAGAGAAATCCCAGACCTCCTGAGGGCTGAGGGGCTCCAAAGCTGTGCTATGTTATCAACAGCTACATGGTTAGCTAACTGCTGTGACTAAATAGAGATTGGGAAGCACTGCAGGCAAGGGATGAAAAGTGATGCCCTCCCATAGCACAATGCTGATATGCAGAATTGGCCAAAACAACGAAACTTCACAGACAGTGCAGCAGAAGGCATTGGCTCTCTTGTTTGGGCATTTTATTACCTGGAGCAAAATGTGCAGAGAAGGGAGATAATGAAGTAGTTGACTAATTCAGTGTGATCCAGCTGGCTAAGCCAGAGGGGCTGCAGAGCAGGAAAAGCTACAGAACTCACTGCTAGCCATTTTCCCTTGATACCTGTGAAGCCAAAACAAAGAAGTGCAGAGATCAAAAAGCAGAGCAATATCAATATCGGAAAAGGGGAGAGTCACAACAAAAGGGGAGGAGAAAACTCTAGGATTGCCCCCCCCTTCTGCTTTCTATCTAGTGGCAGGGGGAGAAGAGATGTTATTTTTGTTTGCCTGGTGCCAACTTGTAATCTGAGAAATCCACCAGATTCCCAAATGCTTAGAATCCTGTGTGCCACAATACTCAATGCTAGCTTATTTTATTTTTAATTTTATCTACTGTTTGTGCTTGGGGGGTAGGAAAGACAGGTTTTGCAATGTAGGCACATGCATGGTAGTGCCTTCAAAAATGCATATCCCCCCTTTTCTGCAGCCTAAAAGGCTAGATAAATGATACAATTCTTATCCAGAGGGAAATTAGAAAATGTAAAGTGTGTAAATTCCTCTCCCCAGCTCCTAGGCATTGCTGTGCTTTTGCTGCTGCCTGTATGGTATGGTTTTTGTTTGCCTTTTTTCCTCTGTCTATGCTGCTAAGTACACAAGACTCACTGCTCCCTCCATCTCTTCTCCTTTCCTGCCTGCTTCCTACAATCTTCCTACAGAGTGCAGAGCAATCCCAGCTGTACTAACAAGCTGTTCCCCAGATTAGAGTGTAATGTTTGTAAAAAGCTGGCAGTAAGTAAAAGGCAGTTACTATATGTAATTAAATATACAAGGCCAAACTTCGTACCTGATGTAACATTGATGTGATGCCTTGAAAAGAAATGGAGAAATACATACCTCCACCAAGGCTGAATTTAGCCCATGCTGCTCATCATGGCTGCCAGGGAGTGAATCACTGCTGACCAGTCTGCCTGCCAGCCACTGTTCATACCACTTATTTTAATAGGAGACAGGCAGACACTATGCATCATTCCGAGATGAGCATCACAAACACGCTTTGCAGGGAAGGAGACTACAGCAGACTGCCAGCACTCTTCCAGTGCCAATTACAGTGATGTTTAATCGTAAAAGCAGATTCATTAAAATGGGATCAGAGCCAAGGCGTTTGTGATTTGGAGGCTTGTGCTAACTTTTGATAGCCATCATCGGGGGCAGCTGATGTGACATCACCCTACAACTCTATGTGACTCGTATTTTTAATGGACCACATGCCTTCGCATGATAATTTTGCTGCTAGAGTTAGCTTGGCGTTAGCTCAAGAGACAAATGCCAGCAACCAAATCTGAAGATGTTGGGAGTTTGCAGTTGTCATGGAAATCAGGGGCGACTGCTGGTGCTTACCTCCTCTGTAAATGGAAGTCCACATTTGCTCCCTTCAGCTTGGAAGCTGACAAAAAGGGCTAGGTGAGATGGTCCCTCTCTCACAGCATCACTTTGAAGACAAAGGGGAAGCTCCTTTTGCGCTTATACATAAGATTTTCAGAAACATTTTTCTCTAGGAAAATACTCTTAACATTGGAAATATACACTTCCCTGTCACCTGGCCCAGTCTTTCCATGTGGTAGTTTTGTGACCAAAAAATGCCTGAAGAACACCTTGCAAAGGGTTCTCTTGGGTGTTAGCAGTGAAGGGACAAACATGAAGTGCTGACTTATGATCTGGCTCTGTTGTTGTGGTACAGTTGGGATTTCACTGTAGGCACTGTGAGGCACTCGGCTTATTTTGAATGGGAGCAGTCTGTGCTCTTCATGAGTTACATGGAGGTTACATGGTGTATGTCACCTAAACAAGAATATCCACATGATGCAGATTAGCAGCTGCTCATAAATAACTCATGAGTTCAAAGAGTCATTACAACCTGCCCAGGCCACCTCTTGTATCAATACAACTATCGATAATGGTGATGAAAATTATTCAGACAAAGCCTCTTAAGGCACTACTGGATTTAGCAGTGCAGGGAGAACAGGGAGGTACTTGTCCCTGGAGGAATGATAACCTGGAGCCATGTTGTGTTTAGGAAAAAAATAAAAGGCAAAAAGCTTGTACTGCTGCTGCTGACAAACTGGCCATGATGCTGACTGAAGAATATATATGTATGCATATGTGTCCATTACAGTATCTCTCTGTTGGTGTTGTCTGCTGTATTGTTACAGCTGATGAGCTATAACCTCATGAAGACATCATGGGTCAGAGTAGTGGCCTACTGGGATAGAGCTGCATGATCATCATGATCTCTCCTGTACTTTGAATGCTTGGCTTCAGCCTTCACATTATTCTGTTTAGGAATGTGATTGGGAATCATTACTATATTTAAAACCATAGCTCTGATATAATAAGTCTTTAATAAAATGTGTAAGTAGGAACTGGTTGGGCAGATCATGGAAACTGCTGTCAAGATCGTGTCTGGCTTGGTGGTCCCAGGTACCAGTGAGGACCTAGGTAGCTGCTCAACTCATGGAAATGTTCAAGAGAATGAGATACGTATGTGCTGTAAAGCTCAGTGTTGTACGCAGTCATTTGGGCAACTTAAACCATCTTTTGCGAGCAGTAGGGGCACTTAGATTTCCTTAAGCACATTAAGACATCTCTGTCTATTGGGATGATTTTATACCAAGGTTAAGATAGAAGTTTGAGATCAGCTTTTATAAAAGCTTTTCTTTTTTTCTGTATTTCCAAACATTTTTTATTTTTTATTTTTCATAGCTTGTTGAGATACTATATATCCCCTATTTTAAGGAGGATTGAAAGTCAGAACATAGCAGCTGGAATCAGTTGGTAAAATGATGGAGTTGAGAAAGGGAGAAACTGTGCTGCCAGCCTCCTACCTGAACACAGCTTTTTTTACTGTCCCTCGTTAAGTTGCAAGCATGGCCAGCCCCAGCATATACAACTTGCTGGAAGGGTTGTTTCAGAGATGTGGTTTCCAGCTGCCCCTAAACATTGTGTAACTGCTTCTCTGTTGCAGGAAAATATGCCAGAGTGCTGCCAGAACAAAAATCTATTGAGGATGATGCCATGTTTGTCATAGGAAACAAGCCTGGCTCTGGTTAGCCTTGCTTGCTCTTATGGGTGAGATTTTTCCTTTCAGATTGTGTGAACTGGTGCCAAACCCTAGCTTGGCACCCAAGGAGATGGTGGGGAGAGTGAAGAGGAACTGCTGGCCACAGTGGCCACGTGTGCCTGGGTCACCTGAGGACTCACTGGGGTCAGGCAGGCATCAATTCGATCAAATCTGTGCACCCTGCCTTGTGCCTCTGAATGTTACACTCATGTAAATAACTCACAGGTCAGTTGTTTTTCTATTTTGAGTGTGCGGCAAACCAGGCTGAGGCAGCTTGTAAAACGAGTGACTAATTTCTAGGTTTTTTCTTTCCACTCCTCCCCCTGCTGCTCTCCCTGAAGGTGGTCACGGGGCAGTCTTACCCTGGTGACTGGGGATCAGCAGGCTGAGGAAACAGCAAACCATTGTTTGTGCCTGTGCAGGCCTGGTGGAGGCTGTATTTTTGTATGGGTTATGTTTTGGGTTCTAGGGGGCAAGGTGATATTCCCGTGTGCATCTTTTGGTCAGGGAAGTTTTCTGGAAGGAGGGGCCACTGCTGTGGTGCTGGGTGAGGTGGCCACAATTGCTCCGAGGGAGGAGAGGGGCAGGAGTAGGGATGGAGGGCAGTGTTGCCACATGCAGAGAGCTTGCTTGCCTCACTGCTTCTGCCATTGCTGCAGCCACTGCCTGCAAAGTTTGTACTCTTTGCTGGAGGGGTGGTGGGACACCCGTGCTTTGGCAGAGGACTCCAGCTGCATCTCTGCAGCAGAAGGAAAAAGCAATGGAGGGGGGGAAGAGAGTGTCAGAGCTAATTCCTAGGAGCGCATGCACCACCAATTTAGATGTTTCCTCCCTTCACCGTAACCTTATGTCTTCCAGCCATGACTGCGCGCTTGCATTAATTACTCCTTGCTCCCTAGATGCGTTCATTTCAAGCTACCTCTAGGGTTCAGAGTGCAGAAACCGACTGACCAAGGTTGAAAGCAATTAACAAACAGGTTGTTTTAAATTAACAGCTCTTTTAACCAGCTGTCCAGAACTGCTTTTTTTTTTTCTACAGCAAAATTAGCAGGGCAATGCACCTCAGTGAAAAGATGGATTGGAGTTTCTTCTGTTACTGTGCTGCATTTTTACTTTTTTTAAACTCGTGCCAGTTTAACACTAAGCACTTTCAGCTTGGATTTGAAAGCAGTGTTGAAATACACTGAGTGAGTAAATGAATTGTAAATGGCATAGGGTATTGAGAAAGAGCAGTCCTTTTAGCTTCCATTAGATATCTTGCACTGCACCACAATGGGTTTGCTTGTGAATGACATATTGAGATGCCAGTGCTTTCTTGTGAGGGTTGTTTTTTTTCTTTTTTTGTATTGTCATCCCTCTTCACACAGATGCTTTGTTGCATGGACCCTCACTGACTTTATGGCTTCATCAGGAACTGGTTTTGTGGACAAAAGCAGGCTCAGCCTATACCCTGAGCCCAGCCAGAAGCCATGAGGACAGTATGGTGCAAAGCCCAAGCTCACAGGCTTTGATTCCTGTAAGAACATTAGCTTGGCCTTGGTGCTCTAATGACTTGTCAGCAGAGAGCATGAACTGATCAAGCTGTCTTCAAAAACCCGGGAGGCAGAAACAGCACTGTAAGCCCCATAATACCACTAGAGATCATGTATTTTCTATGGGTTTTAATGCTAGGACTATCCTATCTCTAAAGATGTTATGAGGAGGACCTTACAGTGATGGTCTTGAGGCACTTTGCCAAAATATGTGGGTCTTAGGTGTCCACCTTGACTCAATAATATGCTTTCTTACGAGGCTCTAAGCTTTTAAACCCTGCTGTGTCAGGCTTCATTTGGCAGTAGGGTAATACAAGCTCATCCTGACTGATCTCAGCCTTGAGAAATGTTGCCTAAGAGTTTAGTCCAGGTCTACCTCTTGAAGGAAAATCAAGTTCTTCTAAAGTCTCTTTTTGCCATCTAAATAAGTTTTCTTTCCCTTTGGTGCATCTGCTCTTCAGAGACTTTCACATTGTTGTGCTTTCTTAGCCATCATATTAGCCAGAAACAATTCTCAGGTGCAGCTGGACATTCACATGTGAGAGCAGTTCTGAAAATAATTGCCCCATCAATGTTAGCACCAAGTCAGATTTGGTAATTCTCAAAGTCAGTCCCTGCTACTTTCAGGGCAAAAGTGAGCAGGTTTGCTTAGCCTACCCTCAACAATTAATTATTTTGTCTCTGCTTCTTAAATTGCGCTATCTGCTTTGCAAAAGAATGTCTGCTTTTTTTTCATTTTGTCAGCTTTTCGTCTTCCCTGGTTAGTTCTGCTAGCCCTCCAAGCTATTATGTGGCTGTTTTGTGTGAACTCCCTCCAAACTGCCATTAGTTTTTGTTTACGCAAAACCCAGAACTGAGCATGTTTTTTTTCCGTAGTAGACTGCACCCGATCAATATAGATAAAAACCATTACTTCCCTGTTACTAGCTGTCTCTGCATATGCAGCCTAAAATTGTGGTGACCTTTTTTGCTGTCAGACTGCATTGTGGACTCATGTCTAATTTACTATCTGCTACTGACCCTCAGTCTCTCCTACCGATTGCTGCTTTCTAGCTTTGTGTGGGTTGGAGGTTTTTATTTTCATAAAAAAAGAAAATTATATTTTTTCTAAGTTGAATTTCATCTTGCAGTTTTTCTTCTTATAGGTTCAGTCTCTCCACATCTCGGCTCTCTCTGTCCTTACTAGATTCCTTACTCTTGTAGTCTCTGTAAATCTAATTCAAACAATTTGCAGCCTTTTAACATGATTCCATGCAGAAGAAGAGAGGTTTCACTGCCCTACATATATTATTTTGTTGCTTCTTGTTTGTATCTATTTCATATATATATATCATTAGTATAGTTAGCAAGTGCTGATAAATGGAAGCTGAGTGACAAGTTGTTTATGGAGAGGTGACTCTGAGAGTTATTGGCTCTGTGATGATTGAATCCCTTTGAATGGATGAAATCACCTGTAGCACTGTAGAAGAGGAGATGAGCAGGGCAGCATGTTGGAGAAATGCTGTGGGATGTAAATCCCAGTGGTCTGGCACACAACTACAAAGAGGTGCCAAAAGACAAACGTGAAAACAATGTGAAAAGACAGGGAAGTGTGGAGCAGCTCAAAATGACAAAGAGAATTTTTAAGTAAATGGAGAAGTCCTTCTATCTGATGTGTGTTCTTAATTG